ACTTGGGAGAAAGTCTGAGGGGTAGCTGGTGTCTCAAATATTTCTGTGTAAACTCAAAAGATTAACTAATTAAACAACAAATTCAGGCATTAATTAACTCAGGCGCATGCATTAAGGTAAAGTTACCTGAATTTCGTCTTCTTTCTATAATATCGGACATGTTTTCAGTAATTATGTCCAGTTCTTGGCGACGATTAGCATTCAGCTTTGATAGATTAGCTTGTGTTCTTGTATCAATATATTGCTTTCTTACATTAGCAATAATACCATCTGCAAGCCAAAACAGATATAGGAGACCAGAAAAAAAAACAAAAAAACATCACACTTACCCAAGTGTGATCAATACTGCCTAATTTCCACCGCGATTAACGTTAAAAGAAAAATGGAAACGTCAAAGCAATATGTTGATTCAATTAGTTCTTAACCTATATTCTCCTTACGTTTCCTTTGGTTGTTTAACAATCAAAGATTTAATGTAAACTATAAACCAATTTCTGGGGATATTTACCAAATCTAATAAAGCTGTATGGTCTTGTAATTTTCCCTACGAGGCTATGATCAAACTTGTCAAGCTCCTTCTGCAGATCCTGCAGATAACGGAAAGCTAGTTTTCTTGGATAGGAAGAATCGCACAACGTGATGAAGCAGATTCCATTCACGACCAAATAGCTTAAGGTAAAAAAAAAAAAAGAGCAAAAGGGGAAAAGATCAAGTAGCGTAATAAATGATTTAGAGGATGATGAGTAGCTTAATTTCTTGGGTCTGACATATATATATATATATTCTAGGCTTTCAATTAGTAATGAAGAGATGGTCCAAATATATGGAAACTTTGAGCTGTCATGCTCTAAATATAGCAACCTCTATTCGGATAATTAATCATCGTTGCCCCAAAAACTTAAATGAACTTGTACAAAAAATTTAATCAAGTTTTATGCAGCAAGAAAATGAAAGTATGAACATATATATATATATATATATATTATTTGACGTAATTAATTTACAGAGAGAAAAGAGAAAGGGGTACTTGAAAGAATGATGATCAACGCGGATGGTCATTTTGGAAGGTGGTAAAGCTCCTCTGGAGATTTCTTTGATTAAGAATTCTCCTTGTTGCTTGTAATACGAGAAGTTGTCATTCTCTGTATTCACATACCTTGCCCCTTGAGCCAGTGGCAACCCGTCATTCACCCTTCCAACAATTGTTAGCTTAACCATTTCCGAAGGAAATTTCTCCTAATTAACTTGGTTACAAAACAAAACTTTGTCTCGCTCTCCATGGCTTATATACAGATAAGGGGAGCCAAAGCCTCTTTTTGAAGGCAAAGAGAACAGCTGATGGAACTTGGACATGAGGTTATACCCTTTGGTTGTATGCAGAAAGCATAAGAAACCCTGTACCGTGGTGAAGCCAAATTATAGGGGTGCCAATAAAGTAAGCATGACCAAAAAAAAGTTAATTAGTACTAATATATTTGGAATAAATTAATGAATATCTCATAAATTTTGTAAAATTTATGGCTTGCTCATGTGTTTGAAAATCCATAAGACTGCTGATAATTTTAAATCCCACATTTGATATTTATGATGATTTCTTTTGTATGCTTACAAGTCACGCCAAAGTAAAAGAACATGGAGGATCTATATATAAGGCTGGCTTCTGATCTCCTCCCATTAAAACATTCCACTATCGTGTCTGTATGTATTAATTCTCCTTTCTCTCTCTCATTCCCAATTTCTTTCACTTCTCTAATTTTGGAAACCCCTAAGCATATTGTTAATTAAGAAACCAGTTATGCATTATCAACATTTTACTAAAGTATTAAAGTTTTGGTTTGATGTAGGAATAATATTTCATCTCATGAGATGTTTTGAGTTTCAAACTTAAGATAATTTCCTTTTAAGTACAATCAGATAAGATCAAAAAGTGAGAAACTAGATTGCTCGAACTTTATTTGTCGTCTAAAATATGACACCTCTTATCATTTATAGTTTAAGAACAATAACGTCGCATGATTCTATATCTCATTTTGAATAAATCAAAATTTTTTTAAAAAAGATATAAAAAAATAATCTTTTAATTAAATGTATGCAACACGTGCCAAGATTTTAATCCAACCTTCATATCATCTTAAGCTCTCCTCACATGTCATTAGGACAAATAAATTAGTCTATACACTCTCGTTCTTTTATAATGAAGGAATGAAACAAGATTATGTAACCAAAAATAAGCAAGAAAAGAATAAAAAAAAATTATATTCACTAGAATACAATATCTATACAAGAGCAATGTTCAAAAACCTCAAGGGATAGGGAATGAGCTCTCTCATCCTGCGCACACACACACCACCCGACATCCTTGGCCGGGGTAAATTATGGTCAAGTTTGTGTAGTAATAGCAGTAAACTAATCACTCAAATAAATTGAGAAATAGAAAATTTTCAACTATAATTCCAAAATTCGTGGTTTTTCCATCCTTTCATTACAAAACAAAATATCAATGGCATAATCCTATCTGATATCGGGTTAGAACGTATAAAGGTTGAGGGTTGGAACCTTAATTAATCCTTTTAAAACGTACTACATGTTAAAGACATCCTTTCACTTTCACAGACAAATTGACAAAACAATCATATGTGCTTGCAGACTTGTGCATTTCAGGTTTGATGTTGGTCAAATAATCATGTCAACACAAACAAGCTAGGTGATCGATAGCTGCATATGAAAGGACAATTTCGAGTTCCCACATTACCAGGTATGACGGGAAAGAGACAGTGTTCATTACTGTGCGCATCTGCAAATGCATTTGACCCTTTAAAGAAAGAAAAAGTCGATGGAAACTGTAAAATCTCCCCCTGCAACGCTGCCTGCATTAAAAGGTTTGTCCACACCCTCATTTGGCTTTTTACTCGAAGTCCCAAACCCTCTAGACATAACCAGTAGTTCACTTTCTTTCTCGTTTCTCGCTGTTTCCGAAATTGAGGATTATCCTTGTTTTCTCTGCACTAATTAATTCCTTCTTTTCTTTCCTTTGCTTTCCATTAGGATAATTTTTGACTTGTTTGTCAAGAAAACTCCTCTGTCTAGAGTACAAATACAAAGCTTTCCTAGAAAGTCACAACTTTCTCTCTCTTCGTGGGCAGTTTATCTTTTCTCACCAGACTTAAAATCTGTTCTAGCTGGCTCTTATTAATGATGCTCTTTCCCTGGCATTTTAGGTTCTATTCACGCGATTTTCCTTCATTCATTTTGATGAATCCTCTTGCAGTTGCATGTACTTTAAAGGTGAATACAAACATAAATTAATGCAGCAGTCAGGCCACGGATTCGGAGTCCTTGACTGCTACATTTATCTCCTTATTGACACCAGGTTTCATTGTTCAATCTTATCTATTGATTCTTTTTTCACTTTTCTCTCTTTCTCTCTCTCATTTAATTGTTCTTGATTGCTAAAGCTGATCTGGGTACTCTTTATGTGAATGAAGAAGCGAAGAAGATGGGAAGAACACCTTGCTGTGACAAGGAAGGAATGAAGAAAGGGGCATGGACTTCTGAGGAAGACAAATTGTTGGTTCATTACATCAAGGAACACGGCCATGATTGCTGGCGTACCCTCCTAATGCTTGCAGGTTTCTTTCCATTCCTGGTTCTTCTTCTTTCTTGAGAGAGAGAGAAGGAAGGGAAGGAGAGAGAGAGAAGCGAGTTTCGTACGATATGGTAAGGGAGAGTGGGAAAATAGGCTGTTTTGGTCCCTGCTGATGCTTGAACGAGTCAATGACACAGATGTCTCTGTTGGGGGTCTCATGGAAAGAGCGAGAGAAAGGGATTTCTCTCTAAGGAAACTATTTCTTTCTTTTTTCCTTAATTATCATGAACTTCCAGTTTCCTTGTTGGCTTTTTCTATTGATAATTGTTTGTCTGCATCTTCAAGCTATAAATTATGTGGGGCTTTTCTTTGAAGTTTGATCAATGCGGTGTCTGTCAAAGCACGTGTGTCAGTGACACTTCTAATTAACGTCAGAAAGTGGACTCCAATTGCACTAACCCGCCACTGGAATCCATTTTTATAAAGGCCAATTATCCAAGTACCACTGGCAAGCACCGAAACACCTCCTTTTATGGAGTTTTATTAGACCTTTATCTTTATTTGACTAAATCAAAGCTACTATAGATTCTTATTCGCCGTATGAGGTTTCCCAGATCCTTACTTGAAAAGTTTTCATTGAATTCTTTTGAAAAGCTCTGAAATGGATTATTGCGAGCTTAGACATTTTAGTGCGATGAAATTTTAAAATCAGTTAATGGATTTGACAAGGTTTGCGTCAATGTGGGAAGAGCTGTCGGCTTCGGTGGACAAATTATCTTCGCCCTGACATCAAACGAGGTCCGTTTTCTTCTGAAGAAGAAGCTTGTATAATCAGGCTTCATGGCATGCCCGGTAACAGGTATTGCAAATGAGTCATCGTTTTTGTCTTTTTGTTATGTTCTTTATTTTGGTGTTGATTCACTCCATCGGTAACGCAAGCTTCAAGAAGATGACGAAATAGTTTCCATCCTTGTTAAGTGCAGAGTTCATTGAGTTTTTTAGGATCTGAAAGCACAAACCGTTCTGCGATACACAATCATGAACACTGAAGTCCTTCATAAGAAAAGTATGATTTAGCATTTTGCTGTGAATAGATTAAGAAGAGCTAGTTTGATTTGTCTACAAACATGATCGTAGTAAAGAAGTAACATTTATAGCTGGTTTCTGCTGCTTGTTGTGAACTGGAATCTTTTGAACAAGCGAGCTTGTTCTTTCTCACAAAAAACTTGTCATAATGCTAAAAGCTAAGGTGTTCCTCCCTGTTCTTGGAGACTGGGAGAGCATTTCCCCCGTCACTAGTTATGCTGATAATGTCATTGACAAACTGATCCAGGGGAACTTTTTCTTAGCCCATACATTCCTGTTAAATAACTACCATTCTCATATAAAGAAAATTGCTGAACTTCATGTTTGAGATTATAACTCCCTATGAGAGCATAATTTCAATGCTGAACAGATATATTTTAAAACTTCTCTCAACTCAAAAGAAGACTAAAATGACTAAATGTACTGAATGTACCAAATTCCAGGTGGGCTACTATAGCATCTCATCTGCCAGGAAGAACAGATAATGAGATCAAGAACTTCTGGAACACCCATCTTAAGAAGCGCCTCCTTTCCACCGGCAACATACTGCAGACCTCCCTGTACCCTTCCGACTGTGAACCAAGCACTATAAAATCTGAGTTACCTTCAACCCGCCATACCGTCCAATGTGAAAGCGTCAGGTTTGAGGGTGGGGCCCGCTTGTCAATAGAATCATCAATGCTGCGTTCCTCATCAACAAGTAAAACTGACTGTGACATCTTTCTCAAGGTATGGAATACTGATGTCGGAGAAAATTTCCGGAACATTGCAAAGCTTCCTAAGAAAGAAGAAGCAAGTGAAGCTCCTATGTCTCAAACATCTTCATGAACAAAACTTGAATCAAGTTCGTACATTACATGTGAAGAAAGATACACCATTTCCTGTGGTTCTGACACAACCCCTGAACAAGCTGATAGCTATAGGACAGGTTAGACACGATAGCTTCTTCAGACTCCATCAGCTCCAATGAAATTTCAGATTCTTCAGATACAGCACGGAAGCTGCTTTTAGATATACCTCCTGGTGCTGGCATGGGATTTTTACTGAACCAAACAGATAATTTTTCAACCTTTCTAGACGTTCAATGCAATTGAAAGGCTTTTTCCAGTCTTCCCTACCACTAGAAGAGAAATTCTGAAGCTAGTGATGCTTTCTGTCGAAGAAATAATCTTTTCTCTGGTGTTGAAGTGGCAGACAGCAATGGCGCGAGCCAACAGTATTTTGAAGGTTGAATATGTCAGTTATAAGGGCTAAAACGATGCAGTTTTTTACTTTACCAAGTTCATTTGTTAAACGCTGGTTTCTTTGTCGTTTCACTTAGTAGCTCTCTAGTTCAGTTTTGCGACATTACTTTGTGCCGTTTAGGTTGTTTCTATTTGTCCCTATGTTGGTCTCTTTGTACGCACTGTAGTGTTGTCGTTTTGGGTTTTCCAGCCGAGTTTGTTTGTACCGTTGCTGGGTTTTCTGTGCTCAGCTGACTGGTTTTGATTTTTAGTTTTCCAAAGGCTGAATCTGAGGCCTTCACTCAATTTCTTGAAGTATAAAAACGTTAATGGAAATTTAACCGTTGAGCTTTTGATGCCAATTTTCCAACTCTTTGATCTGTTTGTATTTCTCTCCCGATGTTTCCTCTGTGTTCATAGCGTTCACCAATCCCAGAAATTTTCTTGTTGAAATTTCATCACT